TTGCCTTTTGATTTTTTTGAAGTTTGCAACTAAGTTTTCTTACTACCTATCAAACAAAAAACAATTTCAAACTCAGTTAGAATCAAATATTATCCAAAAGAAATATAAACTTTCTTTCTATCCCAGAGGTGTCTGCATTGTTTCTCTTTTACTGAAAATCTCAGATACTCAAGGGGAGACAGGAGAGCTTTTGTATTTTTCATTCCTCGCAGCACAAAACCACCCACAACTTAATTTGCAAGTGTCTTTGAAGATTATAAGATAGACATGAAGACGACCAAAAAGCTGTTTTAAAATCAGTAGACTGTCTGCTTTTTAGGTCAATGAAACATGTATTGTCAGAGACACAATTTCAAGAACCAGCTGTACAATGTTCTTCCTCTCCACTTTTCCCCATGTCACCAAAATGAAAGGCTTCAAACAATTTACTTATTTCCAGAAGCAAGCATTGCTACTGACTGGCCATCAAGAACCACAAAAAGTCCCTATTTCCAAGTTGAATAGAGTATTCTGACACCACTTTTTTTGCAACCAGACAGGCAAAAGTGTCTTGCAAAAAGTTGAAAGAGCTGTGTGATGTTCTAGAACCACTACTTTTATATTGTATTAATATATATTTTAAAAATTCTATTTTCATGTTGCTTACTTTATTAACATACTCCACTGTATTCCTTACCTACAAAACCTAAATGTCATGTCAACAATAAATGAACCTGTGATGGGAAGATTTTTTCCTAGAAACTAGAAGCTGGGCTTTCACAGTTTGATTCCAACATTTTAAGTTTCAGCATTCAAGCAATGTTACCAGTGTAATCCGGTATGCAAAAGCAAAAATCTGCCAAAATTATGGTTGAGATATAACTTCTCCCTCTCAGGCAAAAACGTGTCTCTGTCTACTTATCGTATGTGGCAACTCTTAAAATAATATGGTAGGACCAAAAGATATATGTCAAAAATGAAATAATAGATTTTATTATTTACAGTATTAGCTCTAACAATTTTATATTCTTCCCCTTTTCATAAATCTTCTGCAATATACTGTATAATATTCAACATGAAGGGACAAAAAGAAGGCATTTTAGTGATTTTGGAAATATCATCAGTCCAACTAGGGACATAAAACATAGTTCTTCTTCGTATTCCATCTGCCTGATTCAAACCTTATTATCAAAGTTTTAGGACTGACTGGATTTTCCTTTCAGATTGTTCTTCACCATAATTAAGGGGAATGGACAAAGCTTCATGCTGTTATTTATATATGTTAATTCTAATGCCCTGCCAGAAATAATATTATGAAATACATCAATCTTAAGAAATGTTTTAACTTCTGATGCCATTGCCACTCATCCATCCGTCTGTAAGAGAAACACATAAAAACCCAACAACATATGACCATGGAAGAAGAATTTTTTAGAAACCTGCAAAAGCATATTTTAAAAAATTACAGTACCTAGCTACAGTCATAATTATTTGCTTTAAAGAAAATTAGAAAATACCTCATAAAATTATTTAAGATTATAATTTGGAAATGGATAATCACGATTTGTGTCAGGACCAGTTCCTCCTCAAGATCTGAAGGCCCTTTCAATAGACTGTGCCTGCAAAGGGAACTTTTAAGCGTCCCATAAGCACAACACACATATGATGCCTGTGGCAAACTGCTGGAAGGGCAAAAAATATGTCTGTCAATCAAACAACATTAGACGGATCTTTTTACCTGCAAAAAAATATTTCGTAGCTCAGCAGGATCTGCTCTTTTGGTTGACTGCACCTGTAAACACAAGGAAGTTAGTGCTTCGCTAGCCGGGCTACGGACAGAGTGCCGATAAACACGGCCGCGTGCACGGGTGAGGGCAACCATGCCCGGTCCCTCACATCGCGCCGCAGGGCGAAATCTCCAACATGACGCCCTGTGCTTACTGCAGGGCTCTGCAGCACGCCGGTGCTGATGACAGCTGTCAAACTCCGGGCTGCCTGGAAGAGGCGCGGCGCCCCGGCCCCACGCGACACTG